AGATGAATTGATCTTCTCCAGATAGCCCTTAGATTTTTCATTGATGTCTCCAAGACTTTTTTCTAGCATTTGACTAAAAGTACTTATCTTCCTTACGGGCTCTTGCAAATCATGTGATGCAATGTATGCGAACTGCTCCAATTCTCCGTTCAAATTTTGAAGTTTTATATTCGACTCCTCCAATTCTTCGTTAGTGGCAGCTACCTCTTCATTAATGGCTTGTAACTCTTCATTGGAAGCAGCCAGCTCTTCTGTGCGCGCTTGAACTTGTGATTTGAGTTCTAATTCTAAATTTCGATAAATGGTAACGTCCTGAGCTGTTCCGGTAACTTTTACTATCTCATTATTTTCGTTACAGTAAGCTTTTCCTAATGCATGCACAATTCGCACAGAACCATCTACAAGATTTTTTACGTGATATTCTATATCATAAACTCCATCTGTTCCGGGAGTGATGGCATGTAACATGGATTCTCTGACACGTGACCGGTCTTGTTCTGAGATTGGCATATAGGCTCTATCAACATCAATAATTTCTTCTTCTGAAAAACCGAACCACTTTCTTAACCGATTATCATAATCAAGAATTCGTGTTTTAAGATCAAGTGTCCATGTTCCTAGCTGTGCGAGTTCAATCGCTCCTGCTAAAAATTTCTCAGCTTCTTCAATTTTTTTTCTGGCAGTAACTTGTGCCGTTACGTCTGTAGCAACCGCTAACACTCCAGATATCGATCCGTCTGCCTCTCGGTAAGCCTCATACAAAAAATTTATAAACAAATCTTCAATTGTTCCATTACGGGGCAAGCTTATGGGTACATCCTGCGCAGAAAATCGTTCGCCTGTACTATATACCCCTTCTAATAATGCTTCAAAACCCTGGTCTTTTGCCTCTGGTAAACCTTCAAAAATTGGTTTTCCTGAAAGTTCTTCCCGGCTTTTACCCCAGAGTTCAAACATTAACTCATTCGCTAATTCTACAACATAATCTTTGCCTTTAAGAATACACATTGCAACCGGGGATTGCAGAATGACGTTGCGAAGATTTTGTTCGCTATCCTTTAATATTTTTTCGGTCGAGACTTGCTGACTGACATCCGTGTTGCTGCCAAACCATTGTTCTATTTTGCCTTCAGCGTTTCTTAAAGGTAAAACCCTTGTCAGGAACGGTCTAAAGTTCCCGGCTGCGCTTTTAATAGGAAATACCATCTCAAAGGCTTGCCCACTTGCAATTGAATTTTGCCAACCTTC